GAACAAATAGACAAAGTTTTCGTACGTGTTCACGGTCGTCGCGAGATTTTTTCGATTTGATTTTTAGAATCCGTTCAACAAAAGATCGAATCCGTTTGGCGATGATTGTGATTTACGATTATTAAAATCGAATCCGACGCGTATCTGCGTAATAACCAACGTTTTTAATATAAAACCGTTCATTCAGTCTGGTTTTTTTATACTCAGGTATTTATAAAATATTATATCAAATTGTATAATACGCGTAGTACGAGTGTCCATTATAAATTACAATATTTACAATACAACGTTTAGGTATGCTTACCGTGTCCTCTCTCGTAGGCACCGTGACATTTTGAAAAGATGATGATTTATATTATTTTATTAAGTGGTACCATAGCGGACAGAAACAAATACTATTGGTTTGTCCTATACCTATAATATTTCATAGTGATTATACATGTTAAGCGGTACCTTTATTGTGTGTAACTGTCAAGGTGTTGACTCGTATCTGTGTGCGATATGGGCGATATTAATTGTTACGACTTACGACGATAATACAATATTATTTAGTTATTATCGTCATAATAAATAGTAAATACCTACCTATTAATTATTAAGACAACTTAATATGAATATGACTGAATATAAAAAGTAAAAATAAATGTTTTTTTTTCTATTTAAAAACCGGATAGTATGTATTTAATAATATTCATAAGCCATACAGTATTGTACTTTACCGAGTAAAATAAAAATATGCCTTATCCGTAAATGTGATATCATATTATTATAATTCAGTCGTAACTTCCTAATACCTATGTTACGTATGGTTTGCGACGCGAGCAAGTTTCGATTTTGTTTATAGAAACTGTACATTTTATGTATATGATGGTCTATTTATAAACACGGGAGCATGTAAAAATGTCAAATGTTTTACTGCCAATTACTTCGGCTGGAAATTTTTTTGAAAACTGTTAATTTTGTGCTATCCTTCTAAAAATCCAAATTAGATAACCGTTTCCGCCACTCCGTCAGATTCAATCGAAAAACGACAGAGTTCCTATTATAGCCACCAATATAACTATGTGGGTACCTACCTATAGAACATAAATTATTTTAACACTTTAACTGGCTAAACTAAACAGATATTTAGGAATATGAATCGTTTATTTACGAAAGGTAATAATAGTCTCAATTTTTTTAGAAAATTAATTTTATAGAAAAAATATGATCTCTAGCTATAAACGAATCTTTAAATTTTCAAGGAGTCAAATTCGTATAATAATGATATTGTTTATTTTTTACCATGGCAGTTCAGACATTTAATTTGTGTATGCATTTTAAATTTCTCAAAAACTTTATATTTTGGGTTTAAACAGGAATTAAATTTCTTTCATAAATAATCATATGTGCAATGTGCTTATAATCGATAAAAATAGGAGTATATTAATATATTATTATGGTGGCGTCGACAACACAAGAAATGGCGCCAAAATGATGAATTTAAAATCGACCTATTGCGCACATGTATTATACCGCCGTTAATACAGTTTGTATTTTGTCATATTTTCAGTGGACATCAACAAACGGATTATCTTCCAACATTCGAGTACTGAGACACCCAAATAAATCATGATTAAAGTGGACGAATCGGACCCAATAGGAGGTAAAATGTTTTTTTTTTATTGTTTTTTTCTAGTTTAATCTATATAGTATATATAAATACTGTATTACTATAAATAGTATGTTCATATTATTATTATTATTGAACATAATACACGAAAAATAGATATTCGTGATTATGTCTCTGTCACATGACCGTTATTGTAGCCTACAAGAGAGAGTAGCTTTTTGGGAACCATGCCTCCCAATAAGAACTTACATAAGTCTTGAACTGTCGTATTTTTTGAAAAAATTCTATCTACATTTTTCAAAGTCTTATTGGAAATATTGATATAGACTCTATAAATATATAAATTTTTAATAAAATAAAAGTTTTGTAGTGAATAGTGACTATTTAAATTGTATTATGCGTCAAGTTCTATAAATCGTACAATAGTACATGTAAATTATTTATGAAAAAGTCCAGATTAATATGTAACTCCTTTAAATAAGCTCTTCAGTATGATAACGATGAAAATAACATAATTATGGTTTTGTTCTTATTAAAGATTTGAACAAAGTAACATTGGCATCAACTTTGCAATCAAATATTGGCTACAGCTGTTAATAAATATTATAATATTAAAATACTAAGACATTACTTTCATTGACAAGTGTTAAAAATAAAAATATATAAATCGAGTAGGAAATCGAATAAATAGTACTTCGAAATAATATGAACTTTATAATATATAAGTATTAAATTGTTATAGTACCTATTAACTAGGTAACTGAAATGAACATATTCAAATGAATAATGATAAGATTTTTTTTCAAACTATTATACAATTCGTTTTGAAAGTTACAATATTTAATTTAAATTTAATGGATTTAAATGTTTGTAAAATATAAATTATATACAAAATAAAAATAAAATGATATAGCCTGCATTGTAGTTATAAAGAATGATAGTTTGGGGAACTTTTTTTTTTTTTTTTTGAGAATTTTTTTATTAAGTTGAAAAATTAAGTGGTACGTTGTGATAACTTGGTACAGCTGAAGATTAAATGAAATGAGGAATATAATAGATCGTTGTAGATTGTGCTAATGGGAGGTGGTAATTTAAATGAGAGTTTGAATAAATGAAAGGGGAATAAGGTGTAACCAAATTGGAGGTTATTAATCCATTTCCTTACAAGATATAAGGTCGTTGAACCAGAGTTGGGGTGGCCGTTCGAGTATAGCCTATATAATATATATATTGTAGTTCTATACCTGCCAAAGACGAAATGAGGCTGGACTGTACTTATATAAATCCTGAGGTTAGGAATTAAATCATAGGACTTTAGTACTATAAGTGTATAAGAATAAGAGTAATTGGGGAGGAGAGTGGTGGCGTGGGGGTTCTAAGCCTCTAAGGTCCTAACAGCACACAGATTTCAGTTCCTTCCTATGTGATTTACATAATAACATCATAGAAATAATTATAATTTTTGTACCAAAACGAAATGGAAATCTTTAGTACCTCCCTCCCTTTAATTTGAGATAGGACAGGATAGTTGAGAACATTTTATATGTGTATTTTTTTATTATCATCAAATATTATAAGTATATTACCAATAAGGTAATAACGATGGGAATACACGTAACCTTACCAAAATTTAACAATTTTAAGTATTTACTCAGGATGCGCTTGTGTAGATGACAGCTGATTTAAAACTGTAGAAGAATATTATTTACATATAGCTATTATACGAGGTACGGATTTCGCGATACCCGTACGTAACGTGGGCGTTGACAAGGTGGAAAAAAAACCATCACAATACTATACGAAGAACACGGCCGTCGTTGTCCGAGCTCATCGGTCCGGTGAGCGTAAAGTATTTGCGAGATCAGCAACGGGGACTCTATAATAGTCTATAACATAATAATAATACGTCGGCCGTGCTAAAATTAGACAGTCCGAAGCGTATCCCCAACCGCCGACCGGACGCTGTCATTCTTTTCTACTGCTGCGATAGCGTAATTTTATCGTATTATTATTACTATATTAAACGTGTGTTGTAGTCGTATATACATATAATATTAATAATATAAAAATATATTATTATAAACGTACAACGTACCACGGTAAAAACGTAATTTTTTTTTTTGGCAACAATGTACATATTTCATTTTTTTGTTTTCTGCCAGAGTGTACGAAAAATTCACCTATTTATAAAAGTCCCGCCGGCCGGGTCCGCCGACTTTTGCTCCTCTAAACCGCCTTAACGGTGTGTAATGAATGACGCCGGACCACGATCGCTGTATAATTTACCAAGTGTACGTCGTGAGTGCAGTGTGCATACCTATTGCTTTTGAACGTCTGCCAACCGAATTTCCGTACCGTTTACTGGCATAGTTTTTTTTTATTATTTCGTTTGACTCCCTCGTTGAGGAAATAACCGAAAAATCTAGTAAACATGTTTCACAAACTTAATAGACCACAGATTGGAGATAAATAATTGGCCCTTCCGGCACATAATCATATGAACTTATTAAGGTAGCGATTTGAGTACCCGCCAAAATGTTTCCTAAGAGAAAGTGTTTCGATACTATTTAAAAAATCATTCATAGTACTTACACAATACACAGTCAATTTACATAACAGTAGATATGAGTAAATTATAATGAAAAAAAAGCACAATCATTAATATGTTACACACTCAATTTTATTGWACGTTTTACAACAATTAATCTTATAAAATACATTTAATACATTTTAGTGTTAGGTATGTTGTAATTGAAAAGAATATTTTATAAACAGACCGTAATAATAATATACTATATAATGTTTAAACTTTCAAAAAATCTTGGGCTTCATCTTGCATCCTGTACTGCATATTCTTGACTTCTGAACACCATGTGTCCAGTCTACCAATCATACCCGATATTGGCGTTTTGTTCATCACCCTTGGTTGAACCCATTCCAAGTATACACCTTCACTGACTTGATCAATTTTACCCCTGACTAAACCTAATGACAATGCTTTCATTACCAACATTTCAATCTGTTCTAATGACAATTGTGTCTCAAGTGCAATCTCTTGAAATGATAAACACCTGTTTTTAGCTTGACGTTTGAATGTCATTTCCATCAAACAAAGTAGGGAAATTTTTTGTCTGAGTTTATGTTCTTGGACTGCTATATCAGGTATGGAAGCCCACTGCGGCTTCATTTTGGCAAATTTTGTGATGTTTCCAGTGTTGAAAGCATTTAACAGTTCTACTAACCAATAATTTGTTGTATTGGTTAATGAATCTAAAATGGGATGCATCAGCAGTTCACCCAAATTATAGATGTCATCACTTAATAACGCAGCAAGTCCCAATAAAAATGCGTTTCTTACTTGATCTGGTTGGCTAATCGTAGACAAGTCAATAGAGCCCAAATACTTCAAACAAGTGCGATAGTATTCAGTGTGTTTTCCTTGAATACGATATAGATGACTGGCTAACAAATAATACCGGCTATGTACTGGGGATATTTCATCCAGATCACTCAGCAATTTATCAACATCAGTAATAACGACCAAACAATCTTGTTGATTTTTCAATTTATCTAAAAGTATTTCACCTTTTAGAACCTTAGCAAAAATTAAAGCTTCAACTTTGTCTTTAACTTTGGGTTCCAGAGTTTCTAAAAATATAACGGCTTCCTTTGGTTCCTTGATGAATGGAATTACATACGAAACAATTTCAACCAAAGCAAAAGAATTCATTTTGCTCTCTATTGGTTGAATAAATTTATTGTAGAAATTCAACAAATCAACTTTTTTTTGAATATTTGTATCCTTAACATAGGTCAAAAGTTTTAAAGTCAATTGATGCCATAATTTTTTTGTTTGTAATTCTTCCAATTCAGACATCTCAACTTCAGCTTGTGCCATGTTTTTACTATAAAAAAAAATATATAGATTAAACAATTTTTATTTTAAAGTTCAATATGTAAATAATAATTTAAGTATTGTAATTATGTTTTTAGAACTAGAACCTAGTTTTCCTTTCAAAGATATTACAATTCGTAGAGGAGTAGATATGAAAGAACACTATGAACTACAATCTGAGATTGGACGGTAAGAATTTCTATTCATTTTGCACCGGTTTTATTGTTAAGTTATTTGATTAAGGAGCCAGATAATTAAATAATACATTAATATAGTTATGATAATAACTTGTACAAAAATTAATAAGAACTCAATAGATTGACACATAGTACATACATTTAGTAGGTACTTTTGCCAAATACATTTCTAATTTGATCTAAAAATCAACTTAAACTAATATATCAAATAAGTACCTTTAGGCTGTAATATTAATTATGAAATGTAAATACAAATAGTGCTAAAAAGATAAATTATAAAATCGTAGGTTGTGCACAAAGTAAATTATTATTTACTGGCACTAATAAAGTTTGCCCAAATATTCCAACTATGTGATAATGACCATCACGACCGTGTTAGCTGGCTTTAAGCTATTTATAAAATATACAAAGCTTTTAATGCCAACTGTCTAAAAACAACTTAAGACTCTATGGTAATACTATTGTGAAAATCTTTTCAAAAGATAATTACTTCTGATTTCATACCTTATTATTTTATATAAAATTATAAAAACGATTAATAAGAACAAATATTCTAGAATACATTTAATTTAAATAAAGTAAGATGCACAAGATAGGTGGATCATATTAATTGAACAATTTTAAAAACAACTTTATTTTACATTACTCATTTTTTATACTATCACATAGCTGTTTATTGTAAACATTTAAAATAAATGATAATAACAAAATTTTTTGGCATAAGACGTTTATAAATAAACATCTATATCATAAACAAATGAATAGGATAGATTTTTTAGGTACACAAATAACTTAAATATAATGTTATAGCATAATGGGATGAATATTTTAAGGAATAATTTTCATTTATGCTTATAAGTTTTTATAACAATCAAAAATTTAATTGTCGTAAAAATTAATATATTTTTTGAATAGAGTATAACTTATTATAAATTATTTGACGTAGAAAACAGTTAATTAATATGTTTAAAAGGGATATTATTATAAAGTATCAATAATAATATTTTAGTTAAGTTTAAGTAAAATAATTCTGTATCAGAAAATTAATCATAATAGCATTTCAAGATGAAGAAAATATTTATCTATCCGGCTAAGGCCGTATATTTTTTGAATATAAACTCTAATACTAGTACATAGGTACTAAATCAGATGATCAAATATCATACTTAAAAAATATAAATTTATTTCATTTAAATTGTTATATTTTAATAATTAATAAAAAATCTACTAAGTAACAGGTACATTATTGGCTATATATTATACTTTTTAAAATCAGCTTAAAATGGTATGTATTACTTATTAGATAAAATAAATTAAAGAGAATAAATCTATTTTAAGTAAATTAAAAGTTTTTATAAAATATTATGATTTTTGTTTTTCATAAAATACTAATGATTATTCTTTGTTGATCTTTGAAATAATATTACAAAATATATAAAAGTTCATATTAATGTTATCCATACATAAATCCATATATAATTTGAAATACTTTCAAATAAATTAGCAAATAAAAATTATAGCTTTTTAAAATAATGTTCAACAGTTAACTCAAATTATTTTAACAGTTTTAATTTAACGGACCTAACCTAACCTAACCAAGATACAAAAAATGAATTATTCTATAATGTTACGAAAATAGTAATCATTTCCCAAAATTGACATATTTCCTATTATTGATTTACCAACTTTTAACTTAGGACAAACATCTAAAAGTATACATTTCTGTCGAGTCATTGTGACATTGTGTCTTAATAAAAAATGATAGATTTTTGTGAAGAGATTACCTACATATACAGTCTAAAAAATATATTTTCAAATAAATTTATTATAATTAAATAGTAGATAATTAATAATACATAATACTTACATAATAATTTCAATGAAAATACAGGAGAGTATTAAATTCGAAGAGGAAATTTGATGTTCGTTTGTTTTGCAGTGGCGCTTCTAACAAGTAATACTAGTAATAGCCAATAGGTATGAAAACTACGAAATAATAATATATTAATATCACAAAATAAAACACTGATAACAAAATACACAACTCATGATTCCGGCATTACTTTTGTCTCGGAAGGAGGAGACWATTGCAGTGATACCAACTGTTGCGGAACAATATTTTAAACGCAATAAAACATAAAAATAATATAATATTATTAACATAACTACACAACACGGTTATTTTTTTTTATATAGTGACAGAGTCAGTACCACAGGATACGTCTTAAACTCTAAAATGACTGCACACATAAGTAATAAAATATAATATATCGAATGATCTTCTAGGCGTTAGGCCGTATTTTAGGCTAGTCTAGCTTATACCAAATCCATAAGTTATAAATCCAATTATAAAACAAATAAATAATAACAATAAAATTACTTAACGATGTTAATAATATTATCACAATATAGATTAATTAATGTGTACACTGTACGTTCATTAAAATATGTTTTATTTTTATTTTAAAAGGGGGAAGTTTGGTACGGTGTTCAAATGTCGAGAAAAAGCTACGAGTCTTATGCTGGCTGCTAAATTCGTCGGGATTGTTCATAAACAGGATCGGCGAAATGTGGAAAGAGAAGTAGAAATAATGTGTGAACTGCAACATCCCAGGTTGATACAACTCTACGACGCATTTGAAGCAAATAATGCAATGTGCTTCATTTTAGAACTGTAATTGAAGTATTTGTTTATCATGCTCTTTTTTTTAACTTGCAATTCATCCTAAAGTTGCAAAAATCTATACGGATGATCCAATTAATGCCATACACGCAGTATTTCAAAAATTATTAGCGTTCTCTAAAAATATTTTTATATACCTATTTTTGGTTAAAAGAAAAATAGATAAAAACATTGTTATAAAAAAATATATTTTTACTATTAATTATCATTGCCATTTTTAAATGTCTACTCTTGAATAATAACAAATATTTGGGGAGAGAGCTAATTATGACTAGAAGGGACTAAGCCCCAGCCCCCTACGATTTGCGCCTGTATATTATGTGCTAACAATAACAGTTTAGTTTATGTATTTAAAATGATTATTGAATCTATATCTAAAATCTAATCTATTATGTATAAAATATAAAACTTCATTTAAAAAATCTTATTCTGATTTTGTACTACGTCCATTTATTAGAATTATTAAAATATTAAAATTTTAAAAATTTACAAATTAAAAAAAAAATCAAATATCACTATACTCCCTACATTATAATATTATTATTTTTATTTATTAGTACATAAACTTTTTGGATGGAATTTAGTTACAAATTATCTTTTTTCAAACATATCTACTGTTTTGTGTTGGAATGTGTGGGTATATGAAAAACCCTCGACATTACCTGTTTATCGAGGAAAAATATCTGGACAAATATTATATGGGATATCACAAAGCATAATAAAGTTTTCCGCACATAATATGCTAAATTATGAAAATTTCGTTTAGTTTTTGACGTTTTTGTAACATACCATATATTTTAGTTTTTAAAACAAAATTAATTGTATCAGTAACAATGATTAATAAAAGGACAACGACAAAAAATATTGTATATTATCTACTCCAGTCCGGGTTATAGAGTGACTGTAGTTATTTAATATAATAACGTACTACATATTTTACCACTAACATGTACGATGTACACGAATATAATTTAATTCTTTCAGAGTCGAAGGAGGTGAATTATTTGAACGAGTAATTGGTGATGATTTTGTATTGACCGAAAAAGCTGTAACGATATTTATGCGACAGATCTGTGAGGGAGTACAATTTATTCACTCTAAAAATATACTCCATCTTGACCTCAAGGTATTTCGTATATATATGCTATTAGAAATAGCATATTACTCAGGGCCGGTTATGACGGAGGGTTTTAAACGCACTTGTTCCGGGCTGCAGATATTGGGGGGGGGGCATTATTTGGATGCCGGAAAAATGCAGTAAAACGTAATTAAAAGTTTTGGAATCTTGTTTAGGAAATTGGTTTTAAAAACATATCAACTTAAAAAATAATGATTAATTTGTAATTTGTATTTATATTATCATTTTAACTCCAAAATTAATACATCAAGATATGTCACGTGACAACAGAATGACATTATAGTGCATCTAAAGTCCTATAACGAACACAAAATGTTTTAGTATAAGGTATATTTTAATTTAAGATTCTGAGCGAGGCGATGATGGTGGTATTGATTTTACAGAGATTTATGTTAGTTAGGTAATATAGTTTTTAAAATCATCAGCAAAAAAACAAACAAAAATAAAGAGAGTTTTCGCAGACAGTTTTCGACAATTGTTTTGGTGTAATTTTATAAAAAATGATCATGTTATATTATATACAATCAATTTTCATCTGTTGTCTATACTACCATTTTAGATGCATCATTACATTTTCTAAATAATCTAACACGTTTTGATCTATTTATAGACATTTTCAATTTTCACTTGAAATAAACACTGTTTAGGTAGATATTTATAACCTGTAAGTTTGCAAATTTTTAATTTTATTTCCTTAACTACTTAGATATTGCGAGTTATTAATTTTTTACTGCTAGGATTTCCAAAAATAGATTTTACTTGGGCATCCGTAAGTCTAAATCCGGTCCTGGAGTATTACTACATAAACACTTATCTATAATACTTTAGTTTTTATATGAATGTTTATCATACAAAAATATTTTGTTTATGATGCGACGACTATCTTTACCTAAATCTAAACTACTTCTTATAAATTATAAACATATTTGCGTTAATCGGGTTTCAGCCGGAAAATATATTGTGCTTAACTAAAACTGGAAATCGTATAAAAATCATTGATTTTGGTTTGGCCAGAAAATTCAATCCAGAAAATAAACTTCAAGTATTATTTGGCACACCAGAATTTGTTGCGCCAGAAGTAGTAAACTTCGATGCTATCGGATTCGGAACAGACATGTGGTCAGTTGGAGTAATATGTTATGTCTTGTAAGTAATAAAATTATAATATTTATTCGAAGTTGAATTCGGTATCTGTAAATAGGATATTAAATCCGGAATATCTTTGTTTAATATAGGTTATCAGGTCTGTCGCCTTTTATGGGAGAAACCGACGTGGAAACTATGGCTAATGTAACAATTGCTCAATATGATTTTGATGATGAAGCATTCGATTCCATATCTAACGACGCAAAGGATTTCATCAAAAAGCTTCTTGTCAAAGATCACAAGTATGGTTATTCGTTGAGTTGTGGTATTATGTGATACATAAATATATAACATATAACATGAACTAATTAAAACTCACTGATATATTTTTTTTTTTTACTTCTTTTTACATAGCTAATATATTAAATAATTGTTTAAAGTGTTTTTCTTGTTATAAGAATACACTCTAGCCGTGCAACTTCAAGTTTTAACTTGGAGGGGCTTTACAAATTTAAATGAAACAGACACATGGGGACTTTGCCCCTCACACTCCATGTTTACATACCATTTTAAATACCAATATCATATTTTATTAAAATAGATCTATTACTAAAAAAAAAAATATTTTCAATAAAATAAATAAGGTACTTATATGTAATATATTATGTTATAATTGTAAATCTCGGTTCGACATTGCAAATTTATTCAAAATTTGTTCGTTGGAGAATTCATTCGATATATCTCATGCAATATAATAATTTTTGAGCTATTATTATTTATTAAACTTAAATAATGCTTTGCGGGTGATATGGATAATTTCTTTTAACAGCGATTATAATCGTATAAACAGTATACTGTTATGTACATATAGATTAGATAATAGATAAAGAGTTTAATACTTAAATTAAAATACAAATTTTTGAAGAGGCTGAGCCTCTCTTAGCCCCCCCCCCCAGATTGCGCCTATGACTCTACCTATATACTGCTTTTAATCTGTATTTAAATACCTAGAAACTTAGTTTAACCTTTAACACTAATAATTTTATTGCATTATATTAAATAGTAATATTCTATAACATGGACACCTAATAAGTGATAACTTTTTGAATATTATAGCAATATGATGTGATTTATAAACAAACGTGTTTCGCTTCATCCAATTAACATTAAAATTAATTTAAAATAATTTTACTGATTCATAAATGCGATTCGAATTCCTTGAAATTAGGATGGAAATATTTGTAATTAAATTTGTATCCATTAACAAATGATTCTTTATACTTTGCAAATAAAATTATTATATTTTTATTTTGCATTACGATTTATAATTGATTAAAATATCTATCACAATAAAATGGTATTTCATACTTATAAAACATTCACCTTGTTGATAACTATGTTGAAGAAATTAAATGATTATTTAATTACCTAATGCATTTATTTTACTTTAAAGTCTTGGTGTTTTTACCTTTAACCAATATATTATTATACCTCCAAAAATAAACTACATAATATTTTTAATTTATGCGTTTTGTTTATAGTTGTATACATAATTAACTCGTTTGCAAGTAAAAATGTACAACAAATTATTAAATTAAATTAAATACAAAGTAAAATGTTTTTTTTTTAGGAAATTTAGGTGTTTATATATTTAATCAAAAGATTATAACTTATTGAATTGGGTTTTATTTAAAACTTATTTAAAAATGTATGTATTTTTTTAACTCTTTAATAAAAACAGTGTATTCTTCTATACAACTTCATGGTACCTATGTAGAAGTAACAATTTATTAATCATAATAAGATTTCTGTTTTTATATTGGTGTATTAATGTTTTCAGTAAATTGTTGTTATATATGCCTATTGGCTATTACCTTATGTATTTAGTTATTTTATGTACATTTTACTGTAAAGTATATGTCCTAATTTAGACTTTACTTCTTGTACAGATACCTATACACAATATTTATACTTAAAATGTATAATTATGTACCTACTAAAAATATTAGTGGTTTTATAAGTTTTTATATTGATATTATTTAATAGTCGTGTGTGTGGGTTCCTATTTTAATATATATTTTCTAGCGATAGGTATAAATGTATAATAATCTTTATACCTTCTCTCCTCTAATATACATGTTTAATATTCGCTACGAATTTTTATTGTGTGTGTATGTTGGTTGGTTGTAGGAGCCGTCTGACTGCCACCGAGTGTTTATCGCACCAATGGATGCAAAAGAAAAAACCGAAGAAAATATTACGAAAAAGTTCGAGCAAAAAATTGATTAAACAAATCGAAGAGAAAACGACACAGGCGCCGGTGTCGGTGGAGACTACAACATGCACCGGTCCAGAAGCGTTATTATTGCCACTGGATGCGAGCAAAGAAAATTTGAAAGAGTTGTGTAGCAAGTCACGTAGCCAATCGCCGTTGGAGGTTGCTGCTATATCGCCGACTTTGGCACAGCTCAGAATTCTACAAAAGGACAGTAAACAATCAAAGACGTGCGGGAATGACGACAACATGTCAACACCCACCGGAACTGCCTCTGGTGAATGTAGGATGAACACAGCCACCATGACTTCCGGCTTACCACAACACACAGCCACCACAACCTCCGGCATACCACAACACACAGCCACCACGACTTCCGGTGTACCGCCACACACGGCAGACACATCTTCTGGAGCTGCCGTCGATAGAACACCAGCGGTAGATATAGTGAATGGTAATGTGGACCGACAGCGGACATCAACGACCACCTGGTCGCAGACTATTTTCCAGACGATGACGAACAATGGAAGCTGTAGTAATAATTACCGGCGTGCATCGGACGTGTCGTACACGTTTTCGAACTTCCGGACGTCAACAGTGGCGGCGACGTCGTCCAATTTCCTGGGACAGGAGCTACGAGACCTTCAGACCATGATGTTGGGAGACCGGTCGGAAACACTGCAGCAAGACAGCAACGCAGGTGGCTCTGGGAGCAGCCTGCACAAGTTACTGCTTAACCGTCAGCACCTGACCGCGGCTGTCGCGGACAGGAAGCCCAAGTTCAAGTTCTCATCGATGAACCGCGACGTGCCGGCCGGGTCCCCACCGCCCGTCAGCAACCTGTTGTACTACATGACCGCGGCTGCGGCGGCGGCGTCGTCGTCGTCGTCGTCGTCATCGTCGTCATCCTCGTGTCGGTCCGCGCCTCATAGCAAACGCGCATCCCCCGAACACGAGTCGACCTCCGCCAGAGAGATGTTACTCAAATTGTTCTACGGCGGCAGCGACACCGTGGCCGAACCCAATTTGTCCACTTGATACGCATCGCCACCCCGCGCAAGTATATATATCATGATATATATATATAAATATAACACGTACTTGTATACATTATATATATAATACGCACTTTAAACGTTAATACTTAATACATACACGAGTGCGTGATTCATTATTTATATCATAAATTATTAATTAAATGTAAATGTTTATAGATAAATCTGTGACATGTCAAATGTGTTATATTTATATATCTATTGCATATTATATTTCTGCCATCGTGGGTACAGCTAGGTTCCCGCTCCGCACTCTATTACAATAACATCCCCTCGGTCCTTATACTATACTGCTGGAAAAACGACGACTCTGCACACTATCAATTACCACCATGTAGGAAAATTATTTAACGTATTTTTATATAATATATTTAACGATACATATTATGTTGCGTATAATATATATTATCATTTTTCATTTTAACTCTAAAGCTCTGGAAAAGCTGTAATTTCCGACCATGATGGTGGGTTTTGTCTTATATATATAGACGTTCACACGCTATTTACTCAAATTTATAGTTACCAATTCTTTTTTACCGCCGTATTGTTAATATATAATATGATAGGTGCTCTCCGTAATATAGATTACAGTTTTTACTTGTATAACTTACTATAATAGGTACCTGTGCCAATTATACTTGTCTATATATTATATTGATACACAACGTACACTTAACTTTATACTGTTTTATTTTTGATTTACCAATTTTTAAAAAAAATCTATTTTTTATTATTCATATTATTTATTTCTACTTTGTATGAACGCTTGGATTATTGTTTGTTTTTATTACAATTGCGTTTTAAATCATATTTTATATAATTATACCAAAATATAGTAGTCGCGTTTTAGACTTTGTTATACAAATGTAAAAAAAGTTTTGATCACTAATTAGTAATTACCATATAATATTATACAAAATAATGATTATGAAAATAAATATTGGCTCAATATAGGATTAATTAAGTTGTTAATAGTTTTAATCGTTTGATGTATACCTACAATTTTACCTACAATTTTATATAAATTATATTTAAGTACCTAATAAAAATGTATATTATGTTGTTTTAATATCTATCAAAACATGTATTATCAAGAAATTTTAATATATGTATATAAATATCTTTTATCATTTTAGACTCTAGTGTATTTGATTCGTATAGTTTCTAAATAATTTTTTTCACTCATCCTTTGTTTAATGTCATGTCCCGTATAAAATAATTATATATAGGTACCATGACTATTAAACTAATATCGTACAATCAATTGAAATTAAATAAATTTAATTGAGTAACCAGTGTATCTACTGGAGTATATATTCTACGTCCGTACCTATGTTTGAATTAGCCATAATAACTTGTTAGTTGTTTACGATTTATCTGACGTCTTATAACTACTATAGTATTTATCTATAGTTTGTATCAGATGTATACACGAATAAACGACGCAATGCCATATCTAATAAGTGAGAAAAAAACAATATCTAAAGCTTAGCAATAATCGACATACAGTGGTGGACGCAAGGGGGACCCCCTTCAAAAAAGGATTGATGATTAATTATTTTATAATAAACTGTTATATATAACTTGTTTAAATACAATAAATAATTATTTACAAATAACCGTAATTATTCTTATTTTTTCAAACCTTCCCCCCAATTTTTTTTTCTGCGTCCGCCCCTGTCGACATACCATTATAAACTCATAACATAATATAGACTATATACGTAATAATACGTAATAATACCAATTAAATCATTGTCATCTTTATTAGATACATATTTTACTAATGTAAGAGTTTTTACTTTTTGCGTTTGTTTTTGCTTGATTGGAGAAGAGAGWTTATTTGTATGCATATTATCACATAATCATAATATGGTCGAACTACAATAGCATTTTTGACAATTTATAGATATTATTGTCAACGTGTTTGCAGAATTGTTTCGCGCACAGACACATATATACAGACATACAGTATATTTTCTCAGTAGATCTCTATATTCAAATGCATATTAGCATATTATCTACCACGATAACTCCACATAAATATTATTTATAATTCAATATTATCTCTGTGCACAGGGATCGGATGACTGCTGCTGAAGCACTCAAACACAACTGGTTGAAGACAGCAGAACGGCGGAAAGCGTTGAGCAAGACCAAATTGAAACGATACGTAATAAAAAAACAATGGATACGGGCGACCAACACTATTTTAGCGTTAAATCGCATGGGTGCTAAATTGGAATAATAATTTTTTTTGAACATGGTTTATAGGTATATTATAACTGCCATATTTAATGTATTATAATGTGTATTTTATAACTTCACTATCAAGTTCTTAGTTGAAGTTTTATATATTTCGTATGGTTGGTCTAGGTATACAAATCAACACAATTAAGGGCGCCACAATATAATTAAATATAAATCAAAACATAAGTATAAAATAAATATGAATATAAAAATGTAAGTAATTAAATAAATAATAAAAATATATAATTATGATTTACAGATAAAATCCATTGTCAAGTTGAAATTCATGTTCTTGAAAAATATTATTTTTTATATAATGCAGTTAAAGTGGGTATCGAGGGTACTTATTTGAATCACTAAATTTAAATAACATAGTATACAGAAACAAAGTGATCAGCAGTGCTCAGCCCCATTTTTAAGTCAATAACGCTATGATACACAACCTGATTTTTGGAATTTTTAAATATTGTACAGGACCATATTTTCAAACTCTTGATATTTTTCGTTTTATTTTAGGAGTGTCTTGTGGATATATTAACTTCTTTTTTTCAAATTAACCCCCTCCCCCTTTATTTTGGAAATTACTAAACAGATTATCTTTCTGAAAATGTTGACTTAGCAAAATCCAAATTCGAACGAATTTTTTTTCTCAGTTTTAACTTTGTGATATAAGAATAATATAGGTCCGGGCCCCGTGGACTAAAGTAATGGATTTGGAAGATAATTAAGGAATTAGGGATTATGGTAATATTACTATAGTATTCAAATTTTAAAAATGTAGTAATCAATATAAAATTCGAGAATTATAATTTGTAAAAAAAAGGCTTAAGTATAAGTAAATACTAGATCCAAATGATCCAATACCATAAACATTTATAGCTTTGTAAAACCACTTTGAGAAATATTATCCTACGTACAAAAAAGTTAATAGTTATGAAACTACTCGTTTGAAATTTGAATTAGGTACATAAATTGTACAAACAAAATTGTTCATTAAAATTATCCACTAATTAATTTGTATTAAAAAAAAGAAGGTTTTCATATCAAAAACAGAGTTATTTTTATCACGCCACTGCAGGTACTCCTTGAACAAGTTGTACATTAAATTTCAAGAATTTGAAAATTAGGCCCTTAAGTATTAAAGTATATTTAATAATTGAAAAAATCAAAATCTGAATATATTAGGAACATGGGAGTGAGGATAAATTGTGAATCATCCTATATGTATGTTTAAATAGGTATACGTAATTTAAAGTTTTTATCGTAAATAGATTTTTCAATTTTTAATGACAATCTGTCAACCAAAGTATAATGTACTATAAGTTTTATAAATGGAAAAAGAATTCTAAAAATTTGATGTGTTCATATCGGATATTATTGAACAGGAAGTTTTTAGGTGATAAAAATTTAAATAGTATAAACTATAAATAGATGCAGTACAATAAGAGACCACTTATTGCTATTTTACTCGGCATTCCCATTTGTTCCAACTAAAACATTATTAATAATAAAAATAACAATTAACTTTTAATAAAAAAACCCTCAATTTATTGTCATCTTCTTTAAAGTTTAAACATTCATATTTCTAGTAAAAGTAATGTTCTTTTGATTAGAAACAAAAAACATAGGTTGCCACTAAACAATTTGTGATGTGATCATAATTATATAAATACTTCAAGTTATACTCAGATAAAATATCTAATTAAAAAACACTAAAATGTAGGTACTTAATACATTAGTTCTGCCAGTTAAATAATGGATCAATATATCAATCTACACATACATATAAACCGGATAACGACAACATATAATAAATTAATAATAAGGAAATTTAAAAAAAATATACTTTGTATAATTTTTCATCGTTAACATTTTTAATTTTTTACTTCTTTTAAAAATGATATATATATATATATATATTTTTTTTTTTTTATATCATATTCCTGATAGTAACAGTGTAGTATTTCAATACATTTAATTAGAATTTTGAAAGCATAGTTAATTAGTTATAGCTTATAACTTATTAGAGTTCACCATTTAATACTCGTTTAATCTCGCACAATGTTATAGTTCAATACTTCCATTCATTTAACTTAGGTATAAGTCATAAGTTATAACTCATTATAGCTAGGTAACTATATTGCACATAGGTATGTTATAAATTCGATTGTAATAAAAAAATTATGCTTCAGACTATGAAATCAAAACTGTGAGTTATATTTCAACAAATTAATAATCTTGAAAATTGATTAGTGTACAATTTCTTTTTCAAAAATGTTGTTTTGTAATGACATCAAAATATGTAAAAAATAAAATTTGTCATGAGTGTAGGCATTTAAGCTATCATTCAATGAACTCACTAAACTACTCAGATAGGTTAGATTGCGCTCAATTTTTAAGTACCTACTCGTGCGTTTAATAGGCATGCTTAAAGTTATATTATCATAATTCATTTTAAAGTGGTAATACATTGTTATAGAATAATATACACGCGTCGACGCGTCATATTCGTATAGGTATCATATCATATTCATATTCATATTAATAATACCAATTACGAATTAAATTAAAATCACCTTATCTGCATGTTAATTATATTTTGACATTTATATAATTTTATAGATTATTATAACAATACAAAGATGAATGTTTTTATAAATCATAAATACCATAAACTAAGCACTTATGAAGGCATTCGTTTATATCCATCTAGATAGAGATAACAAACTTATATGTTTAAATGTGTAGAACTTATTTAAAATACATATTATGGAGTAGGTATGCAGTGTTATAGTACATAACATTTATTATTAATAATGAATTTCAATTCTGTATAAATAATAAATATCATACAATTATGCATTTGGGTGTAATAACTGGTCTAATGCAACACTAGTGCTATTAAATTTATAGAATATTTTGATCTTAACATATTGTATTTAGATAGTAGAATGGTTTCTCATTCCCTGTGTTATTAATTTATTATTAGACTTTTAATTAACTTACATTTTTATTTTGTTGACGATTTGTGAAGACATTTTATTTTAATAATATGGAAAGACATTTTTTGGAATTAATTATTAAGAGTGATTTAAAATCTTGTCAATTTAATATCTTAGTATTGACTTAGTGGCTACCTATATGTCTGTAAATTGTAGACTGTAGTTATATTAGAACTATAAAGTGGGTAGACACAGTTGTGTGGTGAAAATTAAGCAGCCATGATACACTGCATAATATAATTCCGTACCTACCACTCTAAATCCTTAATATAATATTATAAAATAAGTATAAATAATATTTGACTGTAAATATTTGAATTGTTGTTATATGTTATTACTTACCATAAGTATCCAACTATCCCATCCCCCGAAAAATGTTTTCACCATGACACCTAGGCGTCTTAAAACCCTATTTACCACATATAATTTGGATAAACAGGCAGTAGATAATAAGTACTAGTTTCATTCATAATATGTAATAGCCAAAAGATTTAATAACAGTTATTATTTTTAAATGTTGTAATTAGAGTGATGTAGAATTACTTTTTGTAAGAATATGAACAATAAACTTATTAATTGTTTTGTTTCCAATTAACCTGTAAAAAATGTGTACATCAATGTGAAAATGTATTGTTTTCATTTGACAAATTGTAAGTGTTCTAGATCCTATATTACATTGGTCTTATGATACTATTGGATGAGATCAATGCAACACAATAATATATAAGTTTATATATACRTACATATTAATTATTAATGTGTATACAGATTATAGGGTTATAACTTAACCGATTAATTTTTATACATCTACTGCTGTAATGACAGGAAGAAAAAATATCACCTATCCCATCCATATTTATGTTTAGTTAATTGTAAAATATATTCATTTTAATGAATTTTTGTTTATCAGATTGCATTACATTTTTATCTGTTGCACCAAATAAGAACATTTTGTTCTTGATAAATAATAATTGTACGATAATTGTATTAATTAAAGGCTAATAATAAAGCTATAAATAATACATTTAGTAGCTAAACAAAATTAAGTATCAATAAGTCTTGGCCCTAACCAATTACCTACCTCATAAAAGTATTAGCTAGGTAACCACCCTTAGAATATTGATAACCAAGCCACTGTTTTCTGGTTAGTACTGTTAGTAGAGATAGTATTCATCTATGATGTATTATTATAACTTTTTTTTTTTAACAGTAATACATCTTTGCTTCATCATTATTAATTTTATTAAAATATCTGTTGAATGTCATTAATTATAATATATCTAGATATTTATATTTTATTTGAAATATTCAATTTTCTAATAAATTATTTTAATTTTTAAATTTAGGTTTAATTAAATAATTTAATTAAAATTTTTTTAATCAACATTTGTCCAAATATAACACAMAATTAAATAGTTACCACAATAGTTTTCATTACATTACAGATATTAATATTCTTTTGAGTTTGAACACTTCATTTAAATATATTAACTTTAATCTACACTACCTAATCAGAATAATATAATGTTCAATTTCTTATTAGTTATTATACTTCCATTAGAAATCATTTGATGATTAAATAKTTTAATATATTAATACAATTATTAAAGAATTAAGGCTGATGCAAGTGTAAGACATGACAAACAACTCCTGTTATTGGTAAACAATAGTAATTGGCCATGGTAATGCAAATTATAATTATTTTAATCTTCTAGTGTGTAAGTATATAAGTAGGTGATGGATACACAAAAAATAAATAAATAAACGCATTATTGTGTTGTAATTGTTTTTTATAAAAGTAAACCATCAATAACATAACAATTACAAAATAATTTGATTATCCACCGAGTGTCTAACCATAATACAATAAGCTATTTTTTAGATCATTTAAAAATGTCTAGTAAAATACATTAATAATTTACAGATCAATTAAAACAGTAGGACAGCAATTTTTCCCTTTTCCATATTTAAACGCAATTGTACATTAAATTTATTTTAAGCTTACCTAAGTAAAATTTTGTAACGGTACCACCATTCTAGGATTTAATGCTTTGCGGCATATTGGACAAAAGTTATTAGTTTGCAACCATTCATGAATACAATACCAACAAAACAGATGTCCACAAAACGAAAGTGAGGTATTTTGTCTGGGTTCTAAACAAAGAGAACATTTACTGCCACTGTTCATTGGAATTGGCTGACTGGGATTTTCTTCTGCGTTCTTTTGAACATTTGGTGTTTTAAATGCAGTCATGATTGTGAGTACACTTAAATGGATGCCAGTCAACACACTAAGAATTTTGAACACATGTAAAGGCCTCTTAGGATGGTACCATGGAGTTGCATATACCTTGAAAACAGTACAAATAAATACTAAAACTAAGCTGTTTAGGTTTAAAGTTTAAGTCTTTGCTTACATATTTAATTGAGAAAAATCGTTTTGCCCACGTGTAAAAAGAACCGTTCCAATAAAATAATACTCTGTTAAAGCTTTGAAGCAATGGAACAAGAGATTTTATGGTCGTTGTGAAACGTATAATTTGATCTTTGGCTTGACTTGTTATCGATTTGTTATGTTGAATGTAAAAGATCAAATGATCCAAGGCTAAGATGATGAGTCTGTCTCCAAACACGTGGGCTAATATCATACCAGTGCTTTGCTGTAAATTACGAATTCTTGGTGAAAAATTTATTATTTATCCCACTATTATTTGCATTCTAATAACCATAAGTCCTGGAATGTGTTTTCCAGTTTTTCCAACTTGAACAATTTTGGTATATTCTTCGCCCAGTGTTTGAAGCTTAAACAACGTTGTGAGAGCGTAGTACAGTAATTGTGACGTGCAATAGATGTTTTGTTTATTTACATTTACAAACACATGTCCTAAAAATTGTAATTATTAGGTGTAGTGAACTAATGTTTAGAATGGCAGACTTAACAAAAAAAGTCAACTAATACCATACTTATTATAGTAGATTAATTACCTTTGAGTTTTAGAAGGAATCCACATAGCTGTCGATTGATTCGTTCGTAAAGTTCCTCATCTTTTTGTTCCGCTCTCAATATCTCCGCGGGCCCGCTAGGATTAAATGCTGACATGATGGTTTTCCGGTTATATCGAGATTATATCGATCATTTCATCAGAAGTTATATTTTCAGCCAGTGAATTGTCTGTGTATTACTATTAACGAGAACGAAAATTGTAGGCATTACAATATTTTTCGAATTTTTAACAGTGATGTGATTGCATTATCAGTTATAATTCTTATCAGGGGCTCAACTGACCCTTCGGTACTCGTATAGTCGTCGGTACTTTGGTAGCTTCACCACAGATTATATGAAAACAGATAGTGCACTTC